CTTCACTTTATATATATTTACACGTTCTAACGCCGTCGGTAACAAATGTGCCCAACTACATTCGTAGTCTCCGGTGATCGTTGTCCGACCACTAGAGACTCGCGTTGGTTGGAATGCACGGGCACATTTGGAGGGACGACCGATCGCGGGCATTGTGTAGAAATTATGCTAACTGAGGATCGTTAAATTAAACTACCTACGATTATGCGCACTCTCTACATGAGTACCGACGCTGTCGGTAACACGCTCGCGGGGTTAATCTGCAATCCCGACCGCGTGCGCGACTCGACAGCGTCGTCCTTAGTGTCGCTGGGACCAGACACTCGTCGAGTCATTGCCGTCCGTTTCAGAATCGTAAATAAGATCATCGACGTAGGCGAAGCTACAGAGTTTCCATGAAGTAGGAACAACGAACTGTCCCTCTATCCCGACACAGGGTATCCTCTCATTGTACAATATACGTTTTTAAACCGCGATTGCTGGCAAACGTGCACGATCCGACGACACGCCAATGTCAACAGCGTTCGATCGTTTCGTTCCAATTGAGCGCTGTCGCATGTCGACGAACGTATCGTTCGCACGATCATTTCCGATGGTTCAACCATCGTCGTTAAGTATCGTTAAATTGCAAAAAAGTCTCTATCTCTCTCGCGATTCTCGCGTCGAGTCTCGAGGCGTACCTCCAATTGCGCGACGCGTTTTATAGGTTATGGACGCGATCGTGACTCGATCGTGAACATGTGTCTCGCGGTTGCATTGACGCGAACGGTGTCTGGCCACGGTTGCTCCGCCGTGTGACATTCGCCTCGGCGTCTTTTCCATCCTCTGTTTCGTTTTCGTTTTCTTAACGGGATTATTCGCCATGCATTTATCGGTGTTCCGATCTTATTTGACGATAACGGTTCGGTGGCTGTTCGTTCCTCGAACCGGTTACTAAAAAGAGATCATTGCTTAATTTTCAGCGTGGCTCCTCTTGATATGGCGTCCGAACTCGTTGGTTGCTTCTTCCCACTCCAGGAAGACACCCTGCCCGGAGTTGGTTTTCTGTACCGTCGATCAATCAGGCCAGATAAAGGTCCGTCGGCGTGGAAGTGTGATCCGGTTTTGTGCATGCACTTCCGGTTGGTGATGCCGCGCTCGCGCCGCTACTCGCCCTGGTAGCTGCCAAGGGCGAGCGGCTGGCCACGTCTGTGCTGTTCTCTGGACCTGCGTTGTTACATCCGCCGCCCTGCTGCGAATTGTTGTGGGAAGACGCCAGCGTGTCCCCGTTGCAGTAGTAGTACGTGGAGTCTGCGGAATAAGGTAGGATTTATTATTACACGCCCTGGCGCCATCTGGCGTGGGGATTTTATTTCTTCATGCTATGATGTTTTCAATTACGTTCTTCGTTCAAAATTCGTTCGGTTGAAATGTCACGTGACAAGTGTGACGTGTCACGAATAGGTTAGAGTTTCCACCAGTAGGTATGATACATTTCTAGTTATTCGTTCGAGTATAGAATTATCGTTGATTTTGTACGAAGAACAGGGACCTAAAATACGACTGGACATTGGTGGCGCGCAATTGTCGTTTTCGACACACGCGGCCACCATTTCGGGTCAGTTATCATCGTGAGCACGTTGCGAAATAGCCAGTTCTAGAAAGGGGAAAAGTCGAGGCGCGAAACTTCAGCTTGTCTGTACGGTGTCGAGTAGTACAGTATACACGCGTTACGTCACGTACAAGGAACGGCCAGACAACGTATCGCGTGTCCGACAAATAATTGTTTATTATTCCATCCATTCTGTGTGCGCCGAATATGTGCGCGCGCAACATTTCACCGAGAGGTGATCGCGATCTACCAAGTATTGGGCCTGCAATCGTCCGTTATGAAAGGCGCGGGCAAATCCGAGAGTGGTGGCTACTTTGAAACCGGCCTGTCCACGATTCCACGAGCTTTTTTACGTGCTCGATCTTATCTCGAAACGTAATAAAATAGTCGGCGGGTTTCTTCAGTTTTAGAAAGTTTAGATCCGATTGTGCCAGAGGAGCGTTCTTTCCAACGGTGCAACAAGCGAAAAACATAGTTATACACACGATATCATTGTCCGTGGTCTCGACGAGATATCGATCGTATTATAACCTATCGATGAGTTAGTACTTGGCATTTCGTTGACCCTAATCTAATCGGTACTCATACTCACTGTTTACTTACTGAGCAACCCGCTTGTCGCTGCTCCATAACCGTAGCCGCTGTACGGTGCGCTCGAGTATTGAGAATACGCCGCGCTGTACGCGTAGTCACCACCACCTAAACAAACCATCGAATAAAAACACGTTAAACTAAAACACAACTTCCCGATGGTTAATACGAAAAAAAAACAAAACAAAAACAAACAAATACAAATAAGAAACAATTCCTTCATTCTACTTCACGTTCAACTCGGAATCTCAAGATAAGCGATCTACATTCTCAGTCGGATTTCTTTACGCGTTTCCTTCTTTAAATCAGCAAGTTAGCACATGTCGGCAATAATTCGCCGTTTATCTACAAAAGCTGGTAAGTCAGATCCGCCGCTACAGCTCTCTGACTTACCCTCCGCGTGAACCCCGCGGTCAACTTGCACCCGGGGTCACGTTGCTTTTTTATCATCGGTAGAAAGAACGAGAAGCTGGAAACACATTTGGCTGTTCTCCGTTAATACTCACCGGTGGCGTAGTGTCCGAAACTTGGAAGCATCGTGGAGTACGGTGGTATCGCAGATGCTACCTGGGGCTGAGAAACTGGCGGCTGCAAGACCGTCAGTCCGGGATCCCCTCCAGGGGTGTTGGGGGCCGCGGGGGTGGCGTTTGTCTCGTTCTGCAACGAAATCGGGGGACTCTGCTCGCCCCCGCCGGCCCCCACCCCCACATACGACACTGCGACGGTACTGCTCTCTGCTATGGCCATGCACAACACAACACGACATTCGAGTCAAGCACTAGCTAACGATCAGCGCCTTACGTCTAAAGCTTAATTAAATTGTCTCTGAGTAGAGCAAGAGGGTGTGGGGGTGTGGGGGTGGTAACAAGGATTTTTCGGTTTGGTGATTTTCGAGAGAGGGTGTGCGACGGGACAACGGTGAATCGTTACGCGGAGAATAATCTCGGTTTAGAAATTCTCTACCGTTTTTTTTTCTTTACACAGCCGCGCGGACACTTTCTTATGGAGAGTGGCGGCCGTAATTGTCTACATGCGATTTCTTGACAAGGGAAAATGGGTGCAATTATGCTCTCTGTACATTATATGGATCTTCTCGACTTTCTCGAAACGTTTCTAACGAAGGAAACGTTCGTAACGGTGAGATAGCGGTGGTGTTGTTGAAAATATACTCTTTCGGTGTATTTCCAAGGTGGGAGGATAATCGTGGATGAACAAAGGAGGAATTTTCCCTTCGTTTTTTTTTAGTACAATTCTTGTGTTTACATTCCAAAAAAAGACAAGAAAAAAGACAAAAAAAGTAAAACAGGTACATGTATACGGGAGTATTAGTTATTAGACACGAATCGTTGAATTAAGGCGGTTCGAGAAAGGTAGGCTGTAGCGCAATATGTTTGTTGGGACCCAAGGTGGATCCGTAAAGAGAACTAAAGAGGTGGCGAACTCACCGGTGGTGTGGTAAGGAGACATGTTAGCCCCGTCCAATGTTTGGCTCAATTTTAGTTCTTGCATCGTCAGTGGCGCGAGCGGCGTCAAAGTACCACCTGCTATTAAGGGATCCCCATTTTTCCGTTATTGCGATTTACGTATCGTTGGCTGGCGATCAAGGCGGAACGTCCGAACACCGACACGCGATTTCACCCCCGGGGAATTTCCTCACAGAATCGTATACGAGTATATAAACTGTAACCGTGGTCAATTATCGACGCGAGATTTCCAACGATTTCGGTAGGTCGTTGTCACGCCCTCCGAGCACACTTTCGAATGGAACGTCGTAGACTAGAGGGGTTGATCGTTGCTCTCCGCGAACTCGAGATCAAGAATCTCGTTCCGTGGAAACGTTCGGCTCGTACATATTAACGGCGCTAGCCAGCAAGCCGTGGAATCGACTTGGCCCGGCCGCGTCGTCCTTCAAAAATTCTTCGATCCCGCCGTGAAGATCCCCCGATTGAATTTCATGAGATGAAGCGGCCGTTACACGGCTCGCTTCGTCCATTCCGAAAAGCACCGACCGAAAGAATTCCGCGACGTGCAGCGGCGTGACCGAGTTGCTCGCAACACGTGCCACCCGGAGAAAGTTCGTTTTGTACATAGACCTCTGTGTGTGTGTGGATGTATGTACACATTATAACCAAGTCGTCACACACACAATTTTCCAACGGTTGTTTTTCGATAGCGTTTTCCAGCAGTACGCTCCGCCGTTGATCGACCGCCGTTAAACGGCTCAAGGAGGACAGAAATGGAGCAGAGAGCGAGAGAGACTGTATAGACGAACGAACGATTGATGGAAGAAAGAAAGATTCGATCGAGTGTCTTGTTCTAGACTAGAGTTAGAAGATGGTAAACAAAAAGAGTAGAGAGAGAGAGAGAGAGAGAGAGAGGGGGGAAACAACAACAAACAGGATTTCGTCCCCTGTACCATCAAATAAAAGCCTACGCACGGCGTGGTGTGTCGTTGCAGGTGTTCTGAAGCGAAAGTGTTTCTCGAAAGAGCCGAAAGTAGAGACGAGATTAGGTGGAGACAGTGAGTGTAGCGAGAGATACACCCCTGAAGCTGTGAGAACATCGAGTGGTATATAGAGAGAGTGAGACAGATAGAGACAGATAGAGACAGAGAGAGAGAGAGAGAGTGAGAGATAGAGAGACCACCGAGTGGAGCGTTCCGCCACCTCTTCTTGCACCGTAGCCGCTGCTCAGCACAGCTCATGCATTATTAAAGCCATGTATTTAGCCGATATGGGTATGCAAAGCAAGACGTAAGCCGCAATAATAAGCGTACAGGTTTGAGGTTGTGGAGGAGGTAGGACAGGTTGTGTGAAGAGAGGTGGGCAAATGGAGAGAAGGAATATTCGTTGAGAAACGGGAGAGAGAGAGGTGGTGGCCAGGCGAGAGCAAACGACGAAGGAGAACGGTGGTGGAGAGGAGAGGAGACGATGGTGGTTTGCTGGAGGTCGACTTAGGAAAGGGAGTATTATATACAAGAGGTTGTGGTGCACACACTGTGTCCGGGATTTTGTGCGAAGGATAGATGTACGCGGGAGGGAGAAGAGAGATAGTGAGAGAGTGAACGAGACAGAGAGAGAGAGAGAATATTAGAAGAGTGAGTGAGATATAGAGAGAGAGAGAACTAGGAGGGTGTGCAAGGAGGGTGAATAGAGAGAGAAAGATAGAGAGAGTGAGTGAGATAGAGAAAGAGAGAACGAGTCGCTCACCTATGGTGCCCCCTATGGGCGGGGTGTAGAGATGGGGCGTTTGCGCTTGCGTCATCGTGCTGATGGTGCCCAGGGAGTCGTAGAGCTCGGCGGAGGTGGCAATCGCGTTCCCGGGGAATCCTCCGTGTTCGTAGTAACCTCCGCCACCGCCACCTCCGCCTCCTCCGCCGCCACCTCCTCCACCACCTCCTCCACCGCCGCCGCCTCCTCCTGCCCCAGCGCCGTTCGTGCCGCCGCTAGCACCGCCGCCTCCGCCACCGCCGCCGCCACCGCCGAGCTCGCTCAGGAGCTTGTGCTCGTCCTTGATGCTCCATTTACTCGACCACAGCTGCAACAGAAGCCGGATGCTCGAGGCAAAGTTCGAGTGTCGGGTAGAACGGGCTACTTGTAACACTGAGAATGCTCGTACCGATTGACTTAGGTGTTACACGTAGAATCCGGGAGGGAGAGGTACCTTTTCTAAGACTTTTCTTCTCTCTTTCGAGAGGTAGGTAAATGGGGTTAAAAGTGTAAGAATACGTACGTTTGAGTACAGTTGATCACCGTTGTAGTTGCTTCTCTGTCTCTTCAGGTCGTCTTCCGGATGATCGTTCAGGTCTCGGTTGTCGTCTGCAATCAAACGGCCATCTGCAATGCAGTCTTGTTACTTTTAGTCACACCTTAACCGTATACACGCGTCAATTTTATATATCCCCGGATAGCAGATACGCAGAACGAAACGCCGGAAACCGTGTTCTTCCAATTCACACATTTGGGAACGGTATGAATTGTAAGGTGTACGTGTTTGCGGTGATCTTTCAACCGACCGGTTATCCCCTATGACTCTATCTACGCGAGGGAGGCATACGTGGTCCGCGTATTACCCCCGAATCAAGACACAAATTAAACGTGGCCGCGCGAAACTAAATTGAATCTGTCCGACGGGGGTGGAACACAGGCGACGGTATAGAGACGGTGTATGGCATTGATAGATAGAGAAACAATTTCGATTCCATTATATGTCTTTATTATCTCCCGGCCATCCCGTCGGTTTAATATAGAAACAAGCACGTGGGACGAGTGTCGGTACATCGGTGGGTGTGGGTTTGGCGGACGCGGGGGGGTGGCAGGAGTCTGTGCTGCTGGAATACCGCTATACCCTTTTAGTGGCGGTCGCGAGGGGTTGGTGTGGGTGGTTGGATGGCGGCGGTGGTGGAAGGAGGATGAAACTGACCAACGATTCCAGCCCACGGGGTAGAAGGGGGAAAACGGACGAGGCTCGCCGAGTGGGGGTAGATGGTCCAACGTTCGGGTATCTCGAATAATTAAATGACCATCCGAGGGTAGATGGGTGGAGTACGTAGCATAGGGCTCGTTAAACCTCCCTGTCAAGTTGTGATTGTCCGGCCGGCCGACGGTCCCGACCATTCGACCGGCAGGGTTTGTTCCTGGACCGCTATAAAACCCCCGTTTCAAACACGGCACACCGGTACCGTGGGCTTCCATGAACTTGCTTGAATTTTACGATTCGATCGGCCGAGTTAATCGTGCTCTCGTCCTCTCTCTCTCTCTCTCTCTCGGTGCTCGTTGTCTGCCGTTGGTTTTCGTGTAACGTTGCTGCCGCCAGATTTCATTAGAGTTTAGGGGGGAAACGTGTTACGAGAATTCGTTTAAAATGGACATTGGTTTGAATTTGGTTTTGTCTAGGTGTGTACGGTAAGGATTGGGAAACGTATCGATTAATTGGAACCGTCTTCGACATGGTTATCCAACGGTGAATCGGAATTTTCTGATAGATGGAACGATAGAGAAAGTGGAAGATTAGGATTTTGTGTGTATGTGTGTGTGTTCGATCGGTCCATAAATTCATCGAGTGTATATACACAACGTACACTGGCTGTTGTGCTGTCTAATGCAAATTCTTGTAGCTTCTGCAAAATTACGGTCACTGGTCCTCGACAGATTTGACAGTGGTTGAGTTATGGCGGAAGGAAGGTCAGCGTTTCTCCCCCCGAAAAGAGCAGTAAATCGAATAATTCGATTGATGTTCTAGAGGGCAAAAGCGTGCGCGCGCTAGAGAGAGAGAGCCAGAGCGGGTAAGCTAGGCTCGAGCGTTATTCGAAAGCAATTGAGTCAATGTTAAGCAATACAATACACGGGTAATAATGGAGTATAGGGTGAATCTGGTCCCGGTGTTCGTCCCCCACGGTCCGCGGCTCTATAGGGTGGGACAACGCCGGCCTTTTCGACTTCTGCATGGGGAAAAGCGCGCAGATGTAACGCGACAACAAACAGCCCCGATAGATTGCAATGCTTCCCCCGAGAGGTTTGTTCGTAAATTCGTAATAAGCCCCGGGGATTCTTCGAATCGAGTACGCGTCTTCGAATCGACGACGAACGCATAAATAACGCTGTCGATACACGCTCAACTGATTTCAGCCTTTCAATTCTGGGTGCATTTTCTGGTAGCAAACGTTGCCGATTAATCGATTCGATGCTTCGCAATTTCGAGCTTATTAACCTCTCCGGAAAAGTGTCTTTCGAGTTAGGAAGAAATGATCCAACTGGTTTTTCATTCTATCTCGTCAAAAATTTTGTGGAAGGTGCATTTTCTTTATGTCAAGCTAGCTAATCTTTAGTATTCGGGAAATATCGTAAGAAAGGTTCAAGAACGACCATCAATCACGTATAGCACGCCTGACTTCCGTCCGCCATGTTCGATCCTCTAACCGTTCACCTGAAATCACGGAATTCTCCAGGAGCATGGAAAAAATGCAAATTCCTTTCCTCTTACTCTGCATACCATCGTACCAAGCGCACCTTGTATAAATAAACTCGAAATGTCCACAAATTGAGCCAAATGATACCGTCAATTTGCCTCTTGCGCGTGCAAAAAGGAATACAAATTTGTGGTCTACCGATGTTCCGGCTATCATTTGGACAGAGAGAAAGAGAAAAAAGAGGAAAAGGCCTAAACGGCAATCGAGTCCACATATCGTGGAGTTTGTTCCGTTTCGATCGTCGCGATGCTCTCTTTTTGCACAAGATTGTACAATGTAACCGGTACGACCGTTCACCGCAGATCGTGGAGTCTCGCCGCGGCTCGCTCGTTGAAATTCCAGCCGGTTAAGAGGCGCGGGCTCGCGAGAATAGCTTCGATGATCTCCCGGAGGACAGGGAGAGACTAATGTGTCGCTGGCGAGGGATAGAAGCCGCTGTGGTCTGTGAAGTTTATAATCTAATACGCGTACCCCTCAGCCGGCCGCAAAACACTGAGTGCTCTCGCCGCGGACGCGACCACTTTTGCGACCGCATATCGCCGCTCTCATAATCCGATTATATCGAATTACTCGCGTACCATCGGCATCGCTGCGCGAGCCGGCTCGCGATGTACGAATCGATACGTCCTTCTCTCTCTCTCTCTCTCTTTGTACATTCGCGAAACTCGCTCGTGGGACTTTGATCGGGAATTTGCGAGATTCCCTCCATACGCTGGAACGTTCACGGGCTACTGTACTCGAGTGTGTGTCCGTTTTTTCGTCTTTTTTTCGGCTGGAAAATACGTGGAGTTATTCGTGGAACGAGACTGAACGTTAGTTTGCTTCGGTTTAGGTTAGTTTGGTTTTACCGTGTACGCAGAGATAGAGGTACGAAGAATGCGATTGAATCACTTGGAACGTTAGATAGGAGATTTGCCTAGCACTTCTGTTGGATATTTCGGGTTGAGCGATAGGAACAGAGTGGATTATACGTTCGTTCGGATTGGTCGGACTTAGGGTTCACGTTACCCATAGTGGTCTTCGTAAAAATGGAAATTGGGTAAGGGGTGCTGAGATGCTTGGGAGTTGTAACAGTTTTGGTTTAGGGGCTCTTCTGGAGGGGTTTGAGTTCGTTTGACTATACAGAGTGGTTTTAAGTGTGTGTGTAAATATCCTAAATTTCACGGAATGATTCTTCTACCGCGTTTATCAACCCTTCTTTCAACACTCTCTGTAATCAACCAAACCTTCGATGGATTCAGGGTTCAGCTCCTAATTTCAAGCTGCAAATCTCCGTTCCATTGTTTCGTAGAGGTCAAAATAATTAGTCACGGATCACGAGGAAATTAATGGCAGAGAAACGAAAAGGGTGGCACGATTCGATTTGGGTAGAAAAAAGTGGACCGCCTCGCGGCTAGCAGTTCGCACCTCGAGGAACGAGCAGAGAATCGTTGTGGGATCCTACGCGTCCGAAATGCAACTCCGGAGTTTCGTCGGTCACGTGTCGAGTGGCACGTGTCGAGAATATTTCGGGACACGTTATTCACGCAATGACAGCAGAATGAATCGCGGCACGTGCTGCTCGACGTTTGACTGATACACTCGCTGTGTGTGTAGCTAATCTTGGTCGGGACGAGGCAACAGTCGACACATCGTTCGATCGCGGTATAGTAAGATCGTCGATCGGATTTGGCTCGATCTGGGTCACGATATGTTTGGATACGTTTCTAATTGATAATTGAGATTCGGGGGGTTGATAGCGAACCGAGGAAAGAATTTTTAGGGTTCGACGATCCGAGCTGTTGGAATTTGTATTATATTTGGGGCTGATATGTTGGGTTCAAGTGTTTTTGAAAGTATCCTTTTGCGTGTTGAAATTTGCGTTTCAAGAATTAATTAGAATTAAATTACTGCACACAGTTTGTATTTGGTAATCAGTTCTTTTTAAGACGAAGATCGAAATTGGAGCTAAAACGAAATTTCACTGGAGATAGAATTTTTCATTGTCACGTTTGAATTTGGAAACGTGAAACATAAAGTTCAATTCAGCAACCCTTTCACACGACACCGAAAGCTCCGAATTTCTCCAGGGGGTGGAGACAATAGAATCTTACAAATTGACTGGTACGACCGGTGTACCGTCACCGCGGGTATCATCGTCTCGCGAAACAGTCCAACTTCTCCATTGTTTCGCAGCCCGGCGAAACTCGTGCCGATTTACTCGGCTGTAACGTCGATCTAAGCGATATCTCGTTTCTTGCCCGGCCTTATATAACCCCCTCGGCCAACAATCGCCAGTGAAATGTAGCCGCGACGCCTTCTGCGATCCGATCTGACGTTTACATAAGTTCCTCCGCCATTTTTGCCTTTTTTAATATCCCTACCATCGCGCTCGGTACACTCTTCATTTTCAACTTCACACCTGACACAAGTAAAAACGATATCCACATATTCTTATCCACGATCCAAAATTATCTCTTCAAAACATACTCTTCCCTTTAGATTCTACAGCCAGTAAAATTAAAAAAAAGTATGAACGAAGGAAGAAATTACTATTTAAAAATAAAAATGCAAAAATGACAAAGTAAAATAAACGATGAACGCGCGATTTATTTCGATCGCGAGAGTCATCGGCGATGGTAGCGGAAGAACGATCGCGGGTCGAGGGATCATCGACATCGTAGAATTCAATGACTCACCGTCGTCGGTGCGTTTTCTCTTGATGCTGTTGCCGTTCGGGTCCTGATGGTGCGCCGGGATTCCCAAGATGCCGCTGATGCTGTAAGCGTTGGGAGCGGTCGCCGCTGGGTGACCCGCCGCCGTTGCAGGTGCATGGGCTATCACCGACACGGAACCACCTGATCCAGGTTGACCTTGTTGCTGACCTTGCTGCTGCTGCGCCTGCTGCTGCTGATGCGCGTGCTTCGCCTTCTCCGCCGCTTTGTTCCTCACGATTCTGCGGACAATGGACCGCCAGTGTGTATAGGATTACTTAGTCATTAAAATGGCCGCAATAGAGCACCTCTTTCTCTTTGCGGTTTTCATCGTGTTCTACCGCCTAATGGAACTGGACCTTAGGTGTGACTATGGTGTGAGATCAATTCAACAAGGGACTGAAAGAATTTTCTTGTTAAGTCTTTGACGAAAAGTAAAGGGTTAACTTACACGTGAAATTTGTAACAATAGAATTCGACAGGTAAATGCGATCTTTTGCAAGGACGAAAGTTTCAGAAGGTCTTAAATTAACGCATTTTATAACGATAATCTACAAGATCCAAGCTTCGTTAGATTTACAGTGGTACGTAACATCCGGTATCCAGTTGCCGGATGATTAATTACGATTACTCGGTTCACTTGCCCGCGTCCACTCTCTAGTACCTACCGCGTGTATGCACATACTTTCGAGCAACACGCATCAGAATTCTCTTTACAGGCTCTGTCACTGTCACGAACCACGTGAACCTCTGGTGTATAGGAGTGTGCGTAACCAGTACAGTAACAACGCGTGTCGTTCGCCATTGTTCCGCACGGAGCCGTCGGAGCGCGCCTCCACCTTCGATATATAGAATAGCTACGTGACTCTGCGGAACGGTCGCGTATCATAATCGCATCAAGGAGTCCGCAGACATCAGGCAGCTATAACGAAGTCCTGTGTGCCTCCTCCCCCCTGCTGTTAGCCCCGTCGCCCCCTCTTCTGTGCCGTCATCCGGCGGTGCACCGACTGCTTATTATCCATGATATATTGTGCGTGCGGTTTCAATGGTCAGCCAGTCCTCCGACGTCGGTATCAATTATCCTGGGCGAATATTCACCGCGCGACGTTGTTAATCTCGCCGCGTGCCGCTTGTTGCCGCCTAACCTAACCGCGTACCGTACGCGGCGGTCCGCCTCGCGGAAGAAGCTGCCCGGAGGCGCCGATTTCCGTTCGACTACGCCCTCTCGGGCTTGGCCGGTCCCGGGGAGCGGAAGTGACCGGGTACCGCTAGCTGGACGCGTTTCGAAGCCGATGGAAGCTTCGGCGATGAGCGTAGGACGAGGAGAAATGGAATTCTCTGGCTTGGGATGGAGTTGCCGATCGAATCTCAGAGTTCAATGGAATTCTTTTATATTTCGCTTACCGATCTTTTGGGTCGGATGCTGTACTTCAGTTGGTGACGTATTTGGGAGTTTGAAAGGGTAGAGTGGTTCATTTTACTTGAGTTTATAGGAAAGTATAGTCGTAGAAAATTAGCCATCTCCATCGTAGGATAATCTTGTCTGTCACGCAGAAGGGAATCTGTTGCTTATCGATGTTTCGTGTTATTGGTTAGCGCGGTAATTAAGGTAGAGCGGTTGATATTGGCTGATTTTCGATATTTGAAAGGTTTCTATGGATAATGGGTCAGCGGTTTCGCGCGGTAATGGGCGAGCGCGTAATGGATCGACATTAAGTCGTTCGTTTCCGGCGTGGATGTGTTTGTGGGCTAGGTAATCGTGGGGGTGCGAGCTACGGCGATCAATCAGATGACACCTGTTGCCCGATCTCCCTGGCTCGTTCGCCACCTTCGCCAATTCGCAACAATTAGCAACGATCCTTATCAGGGTTAGACTCGAGGGTGACGCCGGGTAGACGCGATCCTAAATCGTTGAGCCACCTGATGTCTAAATTCTAGCAAATGCCAGTATGGTCGTACTATGGTTTCAGACCGTATGATAATTCGTTGAATTGCAGATTGTGGATTAAACACGAAGATGTATGTTAAGGTACGAAAATTAATAGAATAATGGTCCTGTTGTTAATGCAAGTTTGATTTTAATGTATAATCCTTGACCACTGAATGAATTTTAATAATACAGGTACGATGTTTATCTTTTTCCAGAACAATTTTCTAAATTCATCTAATTATATGTGAATAATTTATTAAAATAATCTTTTTCTAAGCTTCGTTGGCCCGAATTACTTTTACTATCTGATATACCCGAGTAGTTTTTTTCCTAGAAATTAAATTTCTTCTATGTCACCAAGAAGAGTTTGGTCTTTTCATAAAACCTTCTTATCAAATTAAAGTTCATTTCGCATTTGAGATAATGCAGAGAGCATCAGACAAGGTTAGATGTCCCAATAAACTATCCCCGTTTACCACGAATTTTTCACTTTCTTTTTTCGTACCGGTCATTGTGAAAAGGGAACAAAGAGGCTTGGTTTCAACAGACCGTTAATGGCCCCACCGGCATTGCTCGTTTTAATTACTCGAGCGCAAGGGACTTTGATTTAGCCGCGATGAAACGAGCGATCCGGGAGCGATGGAAATCGGGCGAGCGGTCGCGCGCGGGCTTCCGCGAAGCGCGATAAAACGCGCGGGGAAGTTGCGCCGGGGCAGCGGGTATAATGAGCGGCGGCGCGATCGACGATCTAATAAGCGCAACGACGCCGGAGCGTCCGCACAACAGGTGCAGATTTTATCGGTGTACAGATGGTGCGAACCGTTGCCACACGCCGCGTTTCGAGGGCCCGAATAAACGGGAGCTTTTTCGCTGAAACTCCGGCTCGTACACGAGCCGTTTCCTATCTTCTAATTAGCATCGCGTTCGCCGCTGTTCCGTTTGTTATCGATGCATTCATAAGTATCAACGACCGTTAGCGATTCGCTTGGAATACGCGTTGCATGATTTATGTAACCAGCCTAACATTTATTCCAACCGTAAGAAACGGTTTGACGAACGAACAGTCTTTTTTACTTCATTTTTTTTTTTTTTTTTTTGAGAGAGAAAATTCGGATTTTTCGTTACTCGCGAAGAAAGAGGGAAATTTTTCGAACAACGGTGAGGCAAGTATCGATTCGTAGAGAAGGGAGAGTACAGTCGAAGCTGGTCGACAGTCCTTTTATGGTTGGAGGTCGACGGGAAAATCGAGCAGAGGATGGGAATGAAGTTCGTACCATGAAACCCCAACATTTCACTGCCGCTACAATGTTTTTCCCTTCTTGTTCAATTCCTGCGTTCTTTGCCCCTCTTCCGGTGTCATTGTGCCTCGTCTAATCATCCAGCCTCTCTTTCTATTTTCTAACGTCGTTGCGGTCCATGGACCGCGACGTCGCACAGTGGTGCCATTTCGTGAAAAGCTGGCCAAAATTCATAATTTCGTACGGTTTTCGTAAAAATTGGTATTCTCGTGTTTTTGGGATTGCAGAATTCGTAAATGTTATCAAAGATGCAAAATTAAACTAAGCGGAATTTCAATTCAGTCGATGAAATTAACCCCAGCGAAATTTATAAATTTGGGTCTTCCATTCACTTCTATGCAAAAATCAATGAAATCTTCCCAAGTTTCTCTCGATTGAAAACATTTTTTAAAACGAAGGTCTATTAATTAAAAGACTGAACCAAAGTTGATTAAAAAATTCGCAATTAATCTCTCCTGTTACCTACACTGCTTTTCTATTATTCCCATTTATTATTTTCACTTGTACACCGCTGTTAGACACAGGCTGATTAATCTGCTTCGATATTCTCTCACGGAATTTTGAATAACGCCCGGTCGTCTTTGCGGCCCCCATCGCCAGCCAAGAAAGAGGGTTGAAACTGTCGCTGCTGGAAAATCACATGGCGGTTTCCATTCACGAGTAGGATGGGGTGTACAGAAACTCGCCAATCCTTCGCGGCAGCGAGCAAAGAGGGAATATTGCTCTCCCTTCGGTCTTCTCTGTTCCTCTCGCGGCTGTGACGCCTTGGAGAAACCAGAGGTGGCGCCTGGAAGAAGGCCGTGCAGAATTATGAGGGTAGAGCGTGTCGAGGGTGCCACGTGGGAAGAAGCTATGCCTCCCCTGGCGCCATCAGATCGTTCCCCAACGGCCACTCCTGAACTAAACTGCTCGACTATCTAGCCTGAAGTGCCACCAACCGCCCTCACGAGCTCAACTTTCCTTGGCCTTCGTTCCGTGCCTGTGGACGCCGTTCGGATACCGCTTAAATCGCGATCGGGCAGATAAATGGACGATTAGGCGGCTTGTTCCAATGGTGATCGAAATTAATCTGTTGTCGAGTCGATCCTTGTGCAGTAAGAATCACCTATGTGCTCTGTGGGTTCGTGGTTAACTTGCAGAACTGCTATTTCAGTGATCTCAGCTCGTTCAAACGGATGGATCGATGCATGAATAAAAATGAAACGCAAGGACCTGTACAAAACGTAATTTCTGATGAAAAAATAAAGGTTTTGCGTAGCTTCTTCTAGAAGCCTCTTACCCAAAAATTTCATTTTTTCATAGGGAATCTTTCTTTTTCATTTTATCACGATTGCTAGAACACCTTGCATAATCATAGGTATATAAGTATTTCGTTAAAGAGTGATAGTATGACAAAATTGCTCAGAACAAGCTGATGGTCAGTTTCACCTAGCAACAGATTAGGTTAACCACCGTTTCACTTCGCTGAAACAATACGTTAAGTACATTTCTAGCTTTCTTATCACACCAGCAACACAGAGTACCTATCTCTGTTCTGCTCTCTCCTCAAACATTCAAGATTACACCTCGAACACCACGAGGAGCTGCATTCAGCGATACCACAAGCGATTGTTTACTTTGCTAGTAAAATCGCATAAAACGGATTATCTGTGGTACGACAGAAACGATGGGGTCTATAACGTGAACCGCGGAGTATGAAGCATAACGGCTGGTAACGCCGGTAGGTCGATACTTTAAGACACTCCCCGGTCGGCCACCTTCTCGGGACCAACGTAAAATCGTGGAGACGTTCCGAGAGTAGGAGCAGAATAGTTGGGCTACGTACGGGTGGCAAGAGGATGAGGTTCAGCCATGCCACGGCTCTGGAACCACAAACTTTAATGTTGGCATTACTTTTATGCGCGACTTTATGCCAAGTATCCCATCAAATATATGACCCGCGCTCCTGTACGCTTCCCCCGGGGGAGGGCGAGCACCTCTGTAACCCTCTTTCACCCACCTTCCACCCCTTCTC